GAAAACTATTGTTTAACTGAGATTACTTTTTAATGTATGGCCATAAATATTGAAAACATTGTGATTAATTTAACTATCAGTGTGGGGTTGTGGAGATTGTTGAGTTATTGATTGAGATCAAGAATCGATCAATTTTGGATCAACATTGAAAATCTGGAAGCAGTGAATGGCTTTTTCCGACTGTTGAGGAATCCCATACTAAAACGAAAAGGTCATCTAGTGCTTCCAGATTTTCAATGATTGTTTAACATTGATCGATTAATGATCTCAATCAATCATTTCTTTTCATTCAAATACCAATACAGAGATAGCATGCTAAGAAATAAATTATCCGTAGCTATAAGCACGTTCATAGCTTGATTGTAACTGCTGATAGGATGATTACCAAAGCTCACTGTATTTGAAAAATAATAAGTCTTCTAACTGAACGCTAGATTTGGTTGCTAAGCTCTTCTAGTAACCCCCAGACAAAATCTACACAGTAACTTGAACACGACAGAAAAGGCTTGAAGTATGGAAGAAAACACTTTACTTCAATGGTTCATTTCTGTACAGAAAATATAGGGGTATTACAGTATTTTATATGGCCTTGGGTTTTCGGAAAATTCTGGAATGCTTATAAACATAGTAGTAGTATAAGTAATCATCCAATCAAAAACTCAGCATGTAACTTTCCACGCTCTAAATATTTCTGGAAAAACGTCTAGTGAATGCTGATTGGATAAGATGCTTCTCAGTGTTTTTAGGGCCTTTTTCCTGGATCTCCCCAAAAAAAGAATATCATTACATAAATAATTGGCTTCTTTGTCTATCATAAATAAAATAGTCACTGATTAGATCATTTCTAAGTATTGAGAAGAAGGAGAGATATGATAATTGTTCAATAAAGCGATAACAGGTTTTCTATGATACATTTGAACTACAGTTGCATTGATTTTATTCTTACAATGCTATTGTGACCTATTCAAAGGCAAAACAGTTTGTCAATTTAAATTCACTTAGTATTGTTTGTTTGAATCTTCCCATCGATGTGTTAGGACTGCAACTGGTCAGTGGCTATCAGGACTCAATGGCCAAGTGGATAACGCGATGGCGTTTGAAGCGAGGGTACTAGGTTCGAGTCCCAGAGTGAACATCAACTCTGAGATGCAGGTACATCCAGCTGACGAGTCCCAAATAAGAGGAAACGCGCGTCCTGGATTCCACTGCTAGCCACTATCCATCTTTGCTTATCAAGTTTGTCAATTCTTTTTTCTTCTTCTTAATGATTATCTAATTAAGGTCATTTCATGATGAAAAGTATAAATTTCAATAATACCCACAAAATTCTCACACTAAAATATGTCACATGTTTTGTGGTTTTCCACTTCAGTTGATACTATTCCTTTCCGTTTGTTTCTCATAAGTTTAGTTTTTTTTTCTCTATCATTGTACTAATTTAAGATACAGTGAATAGGATGGTTACAGTATCATATCAGAAATCTACGGTTACTTGTGGTTAATTAATTGACGGTAACATATTCTCGTTTAACAATTTAATCTGATAATTTCACCTTATTGATCGAAACACTGATAGTTTTCCTATTCATGTTTGTTGTTAAAAAACGGGACATGGCTATAAGTAGTTGTTTTTAGTGTATACTCATTGTTATAACTTGTGAACGAGTGGATACCTTGTTAGCGTATGGCGTGATCAAATCGCCAATCAGAGAGAAGCGAATTATCGATTAGAAAAGTGATTCACAAAAATCGTACGAGTAGTCTTGAGTACTTATCGGTCCTGCTTTCTGCCAGACAGTTAAGTACAGAACACCAATAGAAGCCTCTGCGGTATGAATCATTGTATTTAAAGCATACTGAGTTTATATACTAAACAGACTGATCACATCGTACCAATTAAATAGAAAATTACATTCGTACAAGATTTAGCCAAATATGGCTGTGAATGTAGGAGGCGGAAATTAACAGACTAGGGATAACTCAAGAATGGTAAATCATTTAATAATAATTTATAGGTCAAAATAAAGCTTATAATAAGCGGACATGAATATGAATAGTTTAGTTATTTAGCGATTATACGACAAAAAATATATGCATAAAACTGGTCCATAAATGGATGCCAAAGTTACCATTCATTATTGTTATCGGGACATAACACTCATTGAATGATAATAAACACAAACTTAAATGATCTTTACAAATTTGTTTTAGTAATAATATTCATGTACACTCTAATGTGTCCTTTCAGCACGGGATTCACGAAGTTCTAGTGATAAACCTTGATCATAGGGGTTCAACTATATTGAAATGTGATAGATAACTACCGGTATGGTTAGAAAATGATTTCGTAACATTACAAATCGATTCAAGTTCAAGAAATTGAATTGTTCGATACTGGTTCAGTGATCTAAAGATCAACCGCTTGTTATGAGATAGAATCATGAATATGTATTATTTGGGAGTCGCAAGCTAAAAAGAAGAATTATCCAGAGCTTCCGATTATTCAATATGTGTTTAACTAATGTCAGTCCATGATATTAAGTATAATACTGTGTGATTTTTTTATGGTATTCGGTTTTACTTACTAACTGTTCATTTATGTTTAACCAGGCATAAATAACAGTTAATTAATTACGTACCTAATACTCATTTTTGTACATATTATGACTTAATTACAGTGTATTGTGATAACTTGACTAAATTTAGTGAGTTTCTGATTGGAAGTTGAGTATAGAAGTAACTTACTTAGATCAATGAACGTTAATATATACAGTAACTGCATTATGTGAATAAGTAACGTATGTAAAAGATAGAGCACTTTAGTTGGTTAAGTTATGTAAATTATCTTAGTTACCTCGTCTTTAGTTGTATGTTGTTTCGTGTTGAATAGTGTTTATCTGCCTTCGCTTCAAGTGATAAACCATACAGATATTACTATTAATACTACTAATAATATTCAAATAAAAAATGTCAAATTCTGATTCAATATTTAATGAGACTGATAGGTCCTGGGTTCGAATCTCGCAAGGCGGGGTCGTGGATACGCACTGCTGAGGAGTCCCATAATGGAACGAAACGGCCATCCAGTGCTTCCAGGTTTTCCATGGTGGTCTAGCTTCAATTGACTAATGATTTCAACTATGAAAATACTAAATTCTCCACAAAACCTCTTCTGATATCCGTATTAATTGATAATTATTACTATAGCGTAATAAGAAGACGGTAAGCACCTATGCTTCACCACGAAAGGTAACAGAAGTAAGTAAGTAGTCATAATAAATACAAGATGTCGTCTTATTTTATTTTAAAAACACTTTATTTCACTAAAAACAGGGGTTAAAATATGACATTTTAATAAAGTGTTTGTTTATTTTAATAGTTGAATTCATGAGAAGGTGGAGAGGATTTTTAGCTCAGGTGGATCGTGAACGCTTCACGATTTTGCGTGAAGCGTTCCATATTCCTCACGACCAAACTATCCGGCTCAGAGAACAAAAATTCATCAAAAGTTGAATCCATAAGTCAATCTAGTATTTTCACAGTTGAATTAATGAGTCGACATTATCTAGACCACTATTATAAACCTGGAAGCACTGGAAGGCCGTCTCGCCATAGTATGGGACTCATCAACAGTACACATCCACGACCCTGTACGTTGGACTCGAACTCAGAACTTTTGATCTCGTGTGTGGACTACTGAGTCGACATCTAACGATATTAATTTCGAACTTCAATAGATCCATGATCTCACATAACCCTTCAGGTATTGTCTGAGGTGGATATTCGTCCCATACCCAACATGGATTGAAATCTAATAGTCACGGCTTCTCATTAAATCTTCAGTAAATCCATCTTATTTATACAAATGAGCTATTTATGTATAAATGAATGAATATTTATATTGATACAAATGGGTGAATGAAGATTGAAAAAGAAGATTAATTAAATCAGTTATTTAATGAGATAAACTTTGAAAGGTTAATTATTTGACTTCTTCATGTCAAACTATTAAAAGATACTAAGTGGTTGAGAGAATGAAACTTATTCTTTATTATTTCTAAAAACAAAAAAATCACGCATTGTTACACACAAAGGAAATTTAAACTATTATATCATACAATTCAATGTGATGTAGACATGATTTGTTCTGGTCAGAACTGTACTATTACAGTTGGCAAACAATCCGACTAAATGTAAAGTCGATAAAATCTATGCTTTCAAGATTATGGATTTCATTTCATTAGAGTGCGCCATGGGTATGTACCATCCAAGAAAAGATGGCTAGTGTTCATTGGTGTTTAACGTCACAGATTATAATATGTAAATATAATAGTTACTGGGATACTTGACTGAATTTATTGATAAACACTAATGAGTTTCGATTTATCGATTGAGGATTATATCTATCTTGATAACATCTTGTTTTGATTTAACGTTCAGTCATGGATACAAAAATTCTGTTAAGTTTCACGTTAGAAGACGACAACGAGTTATTTCTTTTCCATTAATACCTGTTTTCAAATTGTTGTCATGAAATGCATATCAGTTACAGTACATTTTGAATAGCCTACTTAATGAAGTACTTCAGATTCATTGGATCAATTACAAAAGTTTATCTTATTGTTTATAAATAAACACTGAATAACCTTGAAATGAGTGACATCATTATTTGAATTCGAATAGATCAATATCAAAACCAATATGGGATAAGACAAACTGAGTAAAAAATTAGTTGCAAATTGATATATTTTTCATAGTTGAAGCATGAGTCGATTGAAGCTAGACCACCAAGGAAAACCTGGAAGCCGTGGACGGCCGTTTCATCCTATTGTAGAACTCCTCAGCAGTGTGCATCCACGATCCTGCCTCTCAAGATTTGAACCCAGGACCTATCAGTATCGGGCGACCATCCAGTGCTTCCAGGTTTTCCACTATGAAAATACTAAATCTCCACAAAAACCCTTGTGATATTCTTTTAACAAATTAATGATATAACTTACTAACTATCCAAGCTTGAAATCACTTCAATAATACAGTTAAATCCATATGATTATTTCAGATAGCTATTAGAAGCTCAATCAATTTAGATTATTAAAGGAAACAATAAAGTGATAGCAAATGAATGAACTGTTCTGTTTCATGATGATTATTGATTGATTCAATTCTTTTCTGTGTTGAATAAAACCATCTTTTTTAATAAACCAATTATTGATAAACATTATGTCATCATATTTAATGGAAACTTATAGAATGTGGAATGTTTAGTGGAAAAGATTTATTGAGTATAATAAACTGTTCAAAGTTAACAATCAACAGATAATATTAAGGAAGAATCATTCTAATTGGTTGAATAATTTGCCCAATTAAAGAAGAGTGTTAAATGTATTTCATTATTTCCTTTCTTCCTCTTGATTGGTTCATTTTTCCATCTATTCAAAATAAACAATTGTACTTAAGCAAAGATGAATAGTAGCTAGCAGTAGAATTCAGGGCATATGTTTCGTTCAATTTCGTCAGCCGGGTGCACCTGAATCCCAGAGTTGATGTTTACTTCGGGACTCGAACTCAATACCTTTCGCTTCAAATGCGATCTCATTATCCACTTAGTTACTGCTAACCATTATCCATCTTTGCTTAAAAGGCTTGTGACTTAAGGCGATATCGAGGCATTCCGCACAGGATGCCTATATGCCAACAAGAGACTGATCAACTGCAATTCTAAACAATAATGGTAAAATACAAGCAAACAACACTAGGTGAATTTAAACACTTGTACTAATGATATAATTATTATTTGATTGAGCCGACTATGACATTAATCAACCGTAATGTTTAGTCATAAAATACGAATAACTAAGTCTCACGCTATTGTGATGACCTAATATTGTCTGGATAAAGCCAGAACAGAGATTTGTGGAGAATGTAGTTATTTTAATAGTTGAATTCACGAGTCGATTTAAGCTAGAAACACCATTGAAATCCTGGAAGCAATTTACAGCCGTTTCGTTTTTGTTTGTGATCATTCCCTATCTCATAAGTGGGACTCAGACGTGGAATATTTCGTCTGGCGTACGAACGCTAATTTTTCATAACAGAAAGAGGTTGAGTGTTATCGTAATAGACCGAAGGTCCCTTGTTCGAGTTCCACGTGTGTGATCGTAGATACGCACTTTTGAGGAGCCCCATACAAGAATGAAGCGGGCGTCAAGTGATTCTAGTCTTTCAATAGTGTTTCTAGATTATATCGACCCATGAACTCAACAATTTGAAAGGTAGAATTATAATCTCAAACGGAACAATACAAAATACTTCAGCGCTTCTCAGTGTTTAATTAGCGTAAAGAAAAGATTAATTTTTAATTTCAAAACAGTACGGAGAATATTTGGTAACATAATTGTAATAAAAATACAACTGTTTTCGCTATATAGACAGCTTACATTGTAGGTGAATTTCACTAAAAATTTTTACAAAGTACTGATTAAAGGTTTTATCCAAATACAGTTTATCATATACTCAAAGTCTAAGATCTCCCAGAATATGATTTCGCTTAGTTCTGACCATATCTTTGGTGAGGTAGATGCTACTGATGAAATATAGTTAACTGGTAATCAATATCGATAATCCACTGAAGCAACTGTAAGTGAAAGTTAATAGGTGTAGACAGTTTGTAGGGAATAGTGCAAATTAGAAACATGAATGCCAGAAATAAAGGATATTTTTGAAAGTAATTGGTCTTTAAATAACTTTGAGTAACTAAGAGTGATTTTTACTCAGTCATAAAGTAATTACCATAAAAAATTTATAATATATAAGAAATAAATCAAAATGTATATACAGTTTCCATGTAAAATAAAGACTTTTAAATGTTGTCAAAGAGTCCCTCTGTTTCATTAATATTATTAAATGCTCAGTATAGGAATTCACTCAAGTTTTTTGGGGGCGGCCAGAACAAAACGTGCCACAAATCCATGAAGCCGCTGACAAGTGGACTGAGCTATATTGGTGGGTGTAGACTACCTGGTTGGGATTCTCTAGATGATAGCAATCTATGGTTACAGGCCTTGAATGACACGGCTCAAAATCGTTTTTGCAATGGCGAAGGTGCATCCACTCTTTGTGTTCTCCCAAATTCTAATTTTCTGAATTCTTCATGTCTTTATCTTTTTCTCTTTTCAAATTTATTTCACTGGATTATACTCCTTCAATAACATCTTCAAACCCTAATCTTTCACATAATACTTATGCTCTTTCTACTTCTACCACTATGGAATTTGAATCGACAACTGCATCTCTGTGCTAATTTGGTATGGCAACTCGAACTTATTTACGTACGTACGAAGTTCTACGTTGTAACTGACTGACTGACTAAAGTTTTTTAAAATCGTTTTCCGTCTGGAAGCTCTATACGGACCATATCAATTTTTTCTGATGTACATTGATATGAACTCCAGTAAGAAGATCTACAAAATGATGTCTCTTTATAATGCTTCCATGATAATGTCTGAACCATAAAAAAATACAGGTATGTTCTTTAGTTACCGAAATACGCAGTAGCCATTAGATGAACAAGCCTATTGAATGTAAGTTAAAATAGGATCTCTTGTTTATTGTCATTTTTTTAAAAATAACCCTTTTGTTTTTAGATCGTTATACCAAAATTACAAATGGTATTACAGTTAAATGAAAGAAGTATTTTTCCATTTCACTTCCATCATGAACCTAACCTTTCGAAACACTTCTTCACACTCATTTAGCATAATGAGTTATCTCTAGGAACAATGAATAATTCTTCAAAGTCATCCAACATTGATTATTGTTATAGTATATCTCATTTTCTAAGCATCTTAGTTTTAACTAGAGGTTAATTTGAATTTTCCAGTTTTACTGCTCTCGGGAGGACAAGACCACGACAAAACATCTATTCAGTAATATTTAACCTAGAAGTACACAATCCTGACGAGCCAATAAAATTGAAGATAGTGGCTATTGAGTTTTTAATCAAATTTGTTTTAAAAACGAGAAATGGTGCTTTGAAGAGTTTCAAGGAAACCTGATGTTTTGTTTTCATATACTGGAAGAAAGTCAATCCAAAATGTTTTATTTTTCTACATATAGGAAGTTACAACTAAAGCAACTGATATTCATGTTAAAATAATTGGTTACATGGTCTGAAGTAAACGTTGGATTCACATTAAGAGAAGTTAATGCAGTAAAGATGGACAATCGCTTCAAATGAATCTCTTCTGAAATCATGGTACACTTACTTCTAACATATGCTGGTGTTAGGTAAATTATTGACATGGATGAAACTTTTTTTCAGAAAAAGAGGGCACTACAAAGAAAGGGTAAAAAATTGATTTAGTAGACATTTCATTACGCTAACTATTCCACATATTATGGATTTGAGTAAAGTCTTTTGAAAAAGGTCGCTTTAAGTATTCATTCAAACTGAAAAAAACCAAAGATAATTTCTTCTACAAATAATTTAGTACTTCTTGGAACAAATATTTATTCAGATGACTAAGTGCACATTTGTTCATTAAGATCATTGGATGCAATCATATAGTCACTGTACAACAATATTCTTTCGGTTCCACAACTGAAGTACATAAAAATGACCTAGAAGCCAAATGAAGCCATTCTGAAGCATTATTTATCTTTCTATTCTAGCTGGAGAGGAAACTTACTATTCATTCAGACCTTTTTGAACAATTAACGATTTTTCATCAGTAATCCGATTCCTAATGTAAGACGATTTATTGATTACTCCAAGACTGTTTATTTATTGTAGTTTTAATTCTTTTCTATCTATAATTTCTTTCAATAACTAAACACTGTCTCTTTATTGATTAGGAATTTGATCTTGATTCCCAAAGTAGATTACTTTTGTTATTCATTGGTTTAAAGTGTATCCATGACACAAATGATCCTTGTAAATTGAACTTATTTTCACAATTAATTTCAACTGTTTAACATTTAGACATTATATTGTCAGCGTCAAATTCTCAGATTTATAGAAGCCTTGACTACTCGTAAAAGTAACCCCCCCTTATGTGTAATCCTTGAGTCATTAGATATCCTAGAGTAATGCAACCGTTTCCTATTCTATCTATACAATGTCAATTTTTCACTTTCCATTATTTATAATTACTACTTTCATTTCGATGATTTGGAGTCGGTTATATTTTCACAGTTGAATTCACGAGTCGATTGTACTAAATACAAAGTGCTAATATATCATATTGTTCAAAACAATTTAGTCTTCTCATTGTTCTATCGACATTATATTGTTGATACTTTAAAAAGAAAACACTAGTTAATGCTTCAATAGTTATCAGTTGAATAACACGTTCAATTTGAATATCCGCCATAATTTTTTATATCCACTAAATTTTACAATGTCAGATCACAATGAAACTTCAGTTTCTTCTTACATAGTTATTCGTGCAGAATTTCAATTATCATGTATGTTCGTGATATACCTTCCGTTACGTGGTATATTAAACTGGGAGAAAAAAGAATGCATTGATAAGAAAATAGCTTAAACTGCTTTAGGGATAAACAATGCTCTTTCAAGTAGGGATAATGTAATTTAAAGAGGCTTTGTTTTGTTTTTTTCCTTACATACTAGTCTTTTGTTCACCTTAAAAACTTCGATGTGAAAACCTAGAGGAAAGAAAAAACGAAAATTGAGACTGATAACTTGAATTGACCTGGAGATGTCATAATGGATTTTGCAATTGTTTAGCTGATCGGTTTGAAACTGACAATGTGATGGTTGTTCATGAAGGTCAAACTTATTAATCCAAAGCACTCTTAATGAAAGTTTGTCAGAAGATAACATGAATGTTTCGTAAAACCAATGACAATTCGATTGGGCAATATAACAACTAACTGTTCACTGTATAGTGACCACTATCAAGTTTATCTGGGTTTTTTAATACTGATCAAATCCCACCCAAATCCCAGTCAAATTCAAATACAGATCAACTCTACAAAATGTCGGTTTCGGCCAGAATAACTTCGTGACAAACTGTCAGACTGTATAACTGTGTGAAGTAGATTTGAATCCACCACGGTTTATCATCTGCTCAGAATTACAGGTATGGCTTGAAGTGGGGTGACGAATAGGACGAAACTTGTTCATTGTTTTCAACTCCTAAGATATAAAGGTATGAAGTCCTATGGAATATTAAGTATGAGTAAACTGTATAGAAAAAAACGCCTTATGGTCAGTCGATAGACTACAAATGTTATTGAATATCCAATGAATTAGGCAAGTTAAAGATCAATCAATCTTTAATTGAAGTTATTTTGTTCATAAAATGGTTAGTATCTGTTTTAATTTTACC